ATTTTCCTGAACATAAACAGAATATGTTTCCAGATGCAATATAGATATGCACTCATTTCTCGTTCGCTGGTAAACAATGACCACAAGTTGGTTTGAAATTAGTGTTGTGAATTCTTGCATCTCTTCTTACGCTTAGTCTACTGTTAGTCGGGCACCTCTTAAATTCAGATAAGTAGTTTATAGATAGTAATTTATCTCAAACGGACTGCTAAAAAATGATATCAACTAGAAATACACAAGGAGTTCAACCTGTTTCAGTTCTCAGCACTTCCTTTACCTATGGTATATGCTACCACAAAAACAGTCAGTTCCATACAGATTGTGCAGCTGAATAACAATATGGTATTCATTGATGACAACTTGAAGATGACATGCTCAGTTTTCTATGTTAACTTCTCACATTTTGAGCAAACTAACACTGATGTCAACGTAGACAGTCAGTAAAACGCTGGCAGACAGTCGCATTACTTGAAGAAGTAACAGAATATAATGATCACAGTAATGTAATTTAGAAGCCAAAAGATAATGGTCTCATTAAGAAGGCTTATAATAACAAGTTGTTACTCTTATAAGTCTGTAGATGTAAATTGAATAACCACCAAGACTATTCTGTTACTCGATGATATAGCTCATTCTGCGATAAAAAGCATCTCAAATATCTAACAATATTAGAATGATCTTTTGGTTAATCAATTTAGCCCAAATTATTCTAGAAAATTTCAGTCTATAGTGTCTCATAAAACTGGTTTGCTTCACTGTAGAGCTCTTTTCAGCATTGAATATGTTATGCAGAGAGAGGGAACACTAACCCAAAATTTGATTGCTGCTGTTATTAGCCAAGTATTTTCAAAGCATACTGCTGTCGATCAGTTTATACTGTATATGAACCAAATATATGCAGGACACAGATTATGGATGGAGAAAAACTGCCGTTATCAGTAATTAAAATTCAAATGAGTAATAAAGAATACTTTAGGAAATACTTACAACTGAAATATGAAATAGTTCAATATTTTAAAAAAGCAAGCAGTTGTAAGTCCTGTAAGGCAGCCGTAGACTTACAAACACCATAAACTCTTCACCCGGCATTCTGGTCTACTTCTTATAATGGAAACTGAAGTATTATGTGTAATAAAAATTACCACATTACTGTTCCGTTCAAAGAAGACAGAGCCGCCTGTTGAATATGCGAACAATATACTGTATCCTACTAGAAAAGTTTCTGACTGATGTATTCAAGAACTTTGTTCATGTTCATGTTAAGAACATCTTTTTGCTAGTACTTAACATTTTTGTTTAGATAATCTCATGCAAGGTTTTAAAAGCACTTATAACAACTTGGAATATATTTTACACTTTATTTGTATTAAGTAGTAATGGTAGAAAAACCTTTTCGTGGCCACCTATTCTATCCGTATCATGTAATTAGGCGGTTTTATTGTTGAAACTTGAAATTCACAATTTGAGCAGATATTCAACATCTGAAGTTAAATTTCCTGTTAGCACTTAACTATAATATATAAAGAGTTCTTAGAGATAACGCTTCGCTGTCGTCAAAATTCCGAAATTAAAACTGCTAACAGATTGTTGAATAATTTGTTAGATTGTGTTACATCTCCCAAAAAAGGAAAACGTTTCAAACGATAGCTAGTGAACTTTCTTGAAGGTTTAGCAGGTATTAACAATATCTGATAGAAATTTAAATTTCTGTGTAAATAGATTGTTGAAAAAATCGGTTGTGTAAACACATTAGTCAAACAACTGAGAAGTCATTGTAGTACAGCTATGATGAGATAAACCAAAGAAAATAATCTTGAGACAATTTTTTTCTACAAGGATGGAATAAATGGAAAAGTATCAAATAACCCATAAGGAAAAACAGAAAGTTCACTGTCAACAAATGGATAAATGCTTTTATCGTTTAGTTTGAATATTTGAGGAATCATAGGTATGATGTTTAAGTTAAAGACAATTAACGTTTTCTACCAGTCAATCAAACCGTCAAAATAAACATAATGCCACCACATAGTCTTCACAAGAAATCAGATATTATGGTTGTTATCCGCGGAAACAGCCATATGAACTTTGGGTATTGTTAAATTAAGAGAACTGGTCATTACTTTGGTGTCTCTCATTAACGAAATAACATAGACATCATCTTTTATGATTGTAGTAGTTTCCGGTTGAGAAAACACAGAAATACTAAACATTCCAAGTTTGCCAAGCAAATATCTTTAACTAAGTGATCAAATTTGAAATTGATGAATACACGTATTCAGATGAAACCGGTTCTCATGTCATTTAGAAAAAATAGTTGTATCAGCAACAGGTCAAATACCAGATAATAAAATCCAACTTATAACATCAATCTCCCTCCCATAACTCAACTGTAATCCAATATTTTCGGTGAATAAAATGAAATTACCTTCTAAACCATTGGTGCTGTAGTTGATTAACTAAGTTTTCCAAATGTCATATAACATGAAAGTAAGATATGCAAATTAGAGGTTCCATAAAATGATAATGCAAGAATATGTCAAAAATATCATCAGCATTTTAGGTTGTCGTCGCTTTAAAAATCCTCAGATTGGTAGAAAATCAAAGTATATAAATGAGATAAACCATTTACCTAAGAGGAGACAGGGATTCTAAAGTCAAATATGTTGACCGTTAGCAATCATCTTGATTAATTCTTTATAGTTCATACAAGTATATGCACAATCCTTCGTTATCATTTTTAAATTCAAAAAGTGATGTTGATTGACATTTTTATGACTACCAATATACCTAACCACTGGTTAGTGTAAGAGATTGTTTCTTCACCTAAATTTTCAGTGTTGTACTGAAAACATGTGAAATTTCAGTAGAAATCTTTGAACATTAGAAAGTGTTTATGTCATTCTCGGATATTCCTTACAACTTAACATCAAAAATCATTTACGGGATGGATCTCCCAGCGAAAGAAACTTACTGAATGCAGGCAAAATGTTTGGCTTTAAAATCTAGCTACTATTTATTTTGCACTAACTTTAAAAATATTAATAATATATTTTCTTTATTACAGAATTCTCAACATATGATACTGTATTAGTTTACTCTTTGTACACCATTTTTCAAATATATACAACCAATGGTGCTGTTTAACGATTCATGATAAGGAACAACAGGATTTTTAAAATGTTTAATGACTCCAGGTTAACAATGACTGTTAGTTATTGCAAAGTTAAATGACAAGACTACGTCTGCAATGACTTTCTTTACACAATACACAAACTAAATAACCTATGGTTGAATTTCGCATGTAGTCGTGCATGCAGAGAAAAAAATATATTTGGTTCTTACCTTTTCAAAGAATAGACTTGAAGAAAGGTATGGATGCAAAGGATTCTTGTCATCAGATAAAATATTTTTAGCCAGCTGCCTACAAGAATTCAGATCTCTATACCCAACCTTCTTTCCCAGCACTGTTAGTAGTGTGCCACTCGATCTGATAACAGCCTTCAAAATCCTTCACAATACGGTATATTTTCTTTTTCAAGGAATCCAGCAAAGAATAAGAAATGAGGTTAAACATCATACTTTACCATTGCATACTGTTGTGTATTACTGACTTATAGTTTCTAATTAACTCTTGTCTGCAACAACAGAACTAAATCTGATGTATTATTCAAATTATTGTATCATATCATAAGATTACTTAAAGTTGCAAAAGGTAGAAGCGATATTTGTCATTTCCACCAAATTAGCTAAATCATGTGAATATTATACACTCCTGAAATCTCGAAGAAACGTGATTATTAATTTAAGTGTACCGATTTGCACCTCAAACTCTTTTCGCACTAAGATTAAAATGCGAAAGCCAAAGATGGAAACTATACAATTTAAACTGAAATTAGGTCTAAAAATTATATCTTAGATACATGGAACTTCTAAAAATTTCATCTGTAAAATCAAAATGAAGGAAAATAGTTTTCTAAAGTATGTTTCCTGATATACTGGTAAAATATATTGAGAGTGTTTTTCACAAGTAAAATAATATGCTGAAAACCCTCAGTTTAAATCACTAATTATGTGCGTTGTGTAATAACGTGTGATTCAGCTGAATAATCGAAAGTTCAAAAAAGGCAGTACAATGATTTCATATACTTTTCTTAATTTACTAACATACATTTAGGTTTAATTTCTTTCACCTAAGAAAGCTGCCGCTTAGAAATCAAAGAGACAACAAGAATGAAACCTAAGTTTAGGACTTACTACTGATTGTCTCCGATCACCTATACTCTTGTTGACTACTCACGCATAACAAAATGAATATATTCTTTATGAAAGTTACTTTATAATTAAACTAACCGTACTTTTTAGATGAGAAAAGTGCAGAAGGCTCAATCTCTTCTTAGAATTATTTTGAAATTTTATCAATTTGCTAAGACTTCCAGTATTATTTGTAAGCGTGGGTTTAAAAAAGCTTCATTGAAAAAACCAAATAGTTGTGGACGTTAGAATCTAAAACTCATGAATGATATCACTAAAGTAGACATTACATCCTGAAATGTCGTTTTCGAGATAGTAGTAAGTATATCCTGCACAACTGTAATCTTTCAAATGGTTAATATTTAATCTTCAAAAATATTACCAAAAGTCCTTATTTCAGTTCTGTGATAACCTGGTTGACGCAAGCTGAATATATTTGTTTCTGTTTCTACTGAAAACAAATAGTCCATGAACGCAGTGATCTAACTTAAAAGTTACCCTAACGAATAAATACCACTGGATTTCTCCACCAAAAGTGAGCTCACAACTATAGTATAATTGGAACTTATTTATATATCTACCTTAACTAGGAGAAACCAACTTCTATAAAAGATTCATAGTCTTTTCAGTCTTCTTTTCCAATTTTGAATAAACTTGAAAAACTGTAATTCTAAGGTGATTAAATTTACAAGAATAGTATTCCAATGAAACCTAATTTTGAAAAACTCCATGATAAAAATGCACAGTCTGATATGTATTACGATTTTATTTCTTCAACAAGTAACAACGTGAATATTTTTGATAAAAAATAGTTTGATTTCATGTACAAGCTTAGTTCTGAGTTGTTGTATACATTTCTTCTATTTTCACAATAATTTTCTGCTTAAACTTAACGGAAATTAACAACAATATTATTATTATCAGCACGAAACTTTCCATAGTATACATTTGATACTGAAAGAAAATATACATGTTATACGGTTTATCTAGAAACATAGAAACAATTTCACGAATCCATGATTCATTGACAGTCGATTACAATAAACACAAACAAATAAATACAAATATTGCCACATCCAATGCTTCAATGCAGAAAGTTTGTTTAAACACATTTTGCATTTACAAAATATCATCACACTGCAGCGAAATAAAGAGTAAGAAGATGAAAAAACAAAAATTTTCAAGAATATCTTATAAAATATCTGCAGGATCTGGATTACTAGATATTTCCTCTAAACTATGCAGACAAACTTCTGGTGTCTTAGATATATCATTTTCATTATGATGATCAATAATAACATATTTATCTTTTTTACCAGAAGTGAATTTATCACAGTTATTAATTACTTTTGCGAAATGATCCACTTCTGCTTTATTATTAAAGCGTCTGCTTTTAATAAACCTAAAATCACTGATAGACGTCTTTCTGGAATGCACTGTTGGCATATGCTTAGATGGCTGGTTTTCAAATTCACATATTTGGAAGCTGACTGAAGAATTTGAACCACGATACGGTGATTTGTGAAAAGTGGACGATTTTGAGTTATTTTTATTCTTATTATTACTAATCATGTTATGTGTACAACCAGTTTCATTCATAGAATCATGATTGTTTGGTCTAATTTCCTCATTTCTTTTATTTTCACTAAGTAATACACTTCTTGGTGTTGCTTTTTCTTCTTCTATTGGCTTTACAGATTTTGATTCGTATGATAAACTTGACGTTTTTGACTTTTTCTGTCCTATGTGAAACATAGGCCTGAATATGTGGGAAAATAATCTTTGTGATTCACAACTTGATCTCACATTTGATGGAAGGCTAGGTCGTGATCGATAACTGGCACTGTTATTACGATAAATACTTAAACGATAATTTGAATAATTTCGAACATTCGCTCTTGAATGGTGAGTATACAGTGTGGTTGTTGCAGCCATTTCCGACTCTTCTGCATCATCATCGTTGTTCATTGATCTTGTAGCCCATTCAGGAATGTAGATACAATGGAGTCCATTGTCCCGAACACATCTGTACGGCCAAAATGTACGAATAAAATGCCGGCGAAATTTACGGCTAAACATATAATATGGTAAAAGATTGATGGCTGAATTTACTACAATCAGTAAGTTTCCGATTTCATTCAATAAAAACCATGACATTTTTTTACTGGATTCTAGTGTAATCAAGCCCCACGCAATATGACTCACAGCGGCTGGAAGCTAGAAGAAAGTAAGACAGAAGAAACTCAAAATAAGACGTAATAGTTAAATAATGATGCAGATCTATTTCTCTTTGATGATATACTGTAATTTAAATAGCATTTCTGATGTGTACAGTAGCCTAATGTTACAAAAATAAAAATTCCAAACTAAAATAGAAATTTTTGTACAATAAAATTCTCGTAATAAACTTTTTTCGTCACTGCAATGAAATATCACCATTTCATGAGTCAAAACAATTATCTTTGATTGCTATATAATGTGGAACTGTAAGTGCACTTTGAAGAGTCGATAGAAACTCCCTAGTCTTTAGTTAATGATGAGTAATCAGTTCATTACCTTTCATGCTTTTCAGAAGGCGTATCTTGGCATCAGCTGTTGAGATAAAGCAGTTTGGTTTACTCAAAAAAACCTTCTTAGGGAATATCAGCTGACATGAATTCGCCCAAGTGTTTGCCATAAAAAATAAAGTTAAAATGTTATTTAGATAAAAGTTTATAAGCCCCATCAAAATGTTACTTCGCCTGCATTAATAAATTTACTTTGAATGTGCTTAAAAGCAAAAATAAAGGTTTTCAGTGAACACCTTTAAGTTGAATTTCACAGTGCAAAAATTTTAACATTTATGATAGAACTCTTTAAACCATCATCTAGTCTAAAAGTCAGTACTAGACCAAGCATTCTCCAAATAACGATACCATTGCACGGTAGGTGCAGTTTTCCCTTTAGATTTGATGATTATTCCAGAAATGGATATCATAGGTATATTAACTTATGAACTGTCAGATTATTAATGAACTGCATCTACAAGCGACTTCGTTAGAATAAGATTTACTGATTCTGTTTTAATTTGTGAATATTACTCAGGCAGTGCTACGTAGTAATATATACTAAAGTATAGTACAACATACTACACAACAAATGTTTCAGTTATATTTCTGCTTATTATAATTTTGAAGGCCGAAATTGCCGGAAGTCACCAGTAAGTCAGTTTCTTGTTGTTTGGATAAAATAATGAAGTCGTGAAATAACTAACTTGGATGATTTACTTATCCTAGCATTCCAGCTTGGAGCTTTTTTCTTCCAATTCCAATTGATAAAGGAGAACGTCGAATTCCAACCAGATGATGGAACGGTAACCTGCTTATAGCAAGATCAGACGTGAGCTTGATCTACTTCAAGGCCATAAAACTGCACTCCTGAGAAGTAATAATCGAGTAAAGGACATCTGTCCAACACTTCTAGATTTCAAATGGTTTTCTAAAGTAAGTCATAAAAAGTAGATTGAACTTAATGGTCGCCGACCAAATCCCAAATCGATTCCTTAAAACAATAATCTGTCAAATTGTTTGCTACCTTCAGACCCTATTTCTTCATCGCGTTGATTTATTTGAAACGTCAAACGAATGAAACTATCCCCATAAAAATTTTAACTGATAGTTAGTAGGCCATTAGAAAGAAGATTCAAGTAGTCATCAGTCCGGAGTCTCTATTTTCGCTTAACAAAACACGTTCCAATAATATGGTGATAATCAACATATGTTACTGCACCATATTTAGCAACATTCTCTAGTAGAGAATTTAGTTATACTTAGTTTGCCACTGAACTTCTACACTCCTTTTTGAAGTTATACGATTTTTTAAGGTTTTATGAAGATAATGACTTCTGTCATGGAGTTACTTTGCATTTCTGAACTGTTATTCACCTAAACACCAGTTTAGCTACTCGTAAAGCGGAATATTTAGAAGTGCGTATATCTGACGATTTGAAATGATTCACGAAGCATTTGTTCCCATTTGCTTTAGTTTATTAAAATTATTGGGACTAAGAATACAGATAAACGTAGATTGTAGCTGGAAACTTTACCAGTTGAATCAACCTACAGCAGCATGTTGAGTAGAAATGTACTGGTAATAAATTAGACAGGAGAGTAGATAGACAATGAGATAGAGTGAATAAATCAAGATCACCGAAAATGTGTAAATTCTTGAAGATTATAAGAAGAGTTAATTTATCACAGAATCATTTTTGCTGGGATGAGATAACTTACTGAATCTTTTCGTTTGTATCATAATTTTTGGTTACAAATATTAGTTTGCTATCAGCCTTATAAACATAGTGCACAAAGTAAAATGGAAAGTTAGTTTTGAAGACGGAAGCATATTTAATGGAAATACGTGATATGATAAAAGTAATGGAAACTGTTGGGACAAAATTGTTTTTATATCCCGGTGGAAACAACATCACTCACTGGGAAGCAGGTACATCTAGCTGACGAGTTCCAAATAGGACAAAACCCGCATCCCGGATTCCACTGCTAGCCACTATCCATCATTAGAACCGTTTGGAGGTTTGTCAGGAAAAGAATTATTTTCGAAATGAAATTAAGCGTCTCAGTGTCCGATTCACCGATTAAAATAAGCAAATAAAGGTTAAACGACCCCACTTAAAGTCTTAATTGTACACTAATAAAAGAAGATTGAGACAAAAAGGGGAATTAAGCAAACTAATTCTGTACACAGAGATCAAGGTTGGTTCTGTTGTTGGTCAGTTTCTCCGCAATACACATCTTTTCGAAGCATGCTGTTTTAGGATTCCTTTGTCCATGTCTTATGTAATTGTAAAAAGGTATTCCTATGACGTGAGCTATGAGAAATTCTCCACAAGTGACTCATAACTTGTCATGATGACATTGGGCAAAACTGGTAGTTCCTACCGTAAATTTGTTATCGTCTCCAAACGTATTCTGATTGAGTGATCTACTGATGTGAACTTTGACTTTCCTGTTGTTTCTCATTTTTGTTTATTGGTTGATGGACAGGGCAATAATCCTTATGCTAACCGATCACTGACTGGTAAAAGTGCAAAAATCCTAGAAACACATTGGAATTCTTCGTATTTCCTGAGTTTCATATTTCAGCTTTCATCCTGTCTACTCCATATCCACAAATGTCTAGATGCTTTGATATTAGCTAAGATATATAGTGATGCTTTGCAGCTCGTTGATGCTCTTGTAAAATAACAGGATTGGGGAGCTACGCAGCCTTATATATTGTTTTGTGCAGTTTCTTCAACTTATCCTGTAGAAAACATGAAACTTGTTTTCCTTTCTGATTGTGTCGTTTGGGTTGTATAACACAAAGTAAACAGATTTTGTAAGTTTGTGGACTAAAGCGACTGCCAAATCTTCAGCAGTCTTGTTACAATCTCCAAGATATCCCTTATGCGACATACGACGATCCGTTCGCTGGTTTCCAAAGATGAAGTGTTCAGGAATTCTCAAGCATCCCTTCTTTTTAAAGTCTATGCCAGTTGTGTTGTCTAGAATGGAAACGAAAGCCTCGTGATTAAACATGTTTCCCATCATCTCAAAGAACCGTGTCTTACTTAAGTGCACACTTTAAAAGTAGACGGTTCAAGTAGTCTACGTAACTAACTCCGCAGACGCAAACAACGTTATTTATACACCCTTTTTCATTTCATAGAGCTAGTACATCCTTGAAATATTCATGAACCTACTTCCGACCAGAACTGAACCGAAAATAAGAAAAAAGAATCCCCTTCTTAGCAATCTAACAGACACTACTTCGAGATATCTGACCCAATATCATTCCACAATCTGCTATAAAAATTCTCGCAATGTTTTGCTCGACTTTCCGGTTTTATTGTGATATTCTGTCTGCATCAATATTTTTGTTCTTTTAGTCCACTTTGAATTGTATCACTTTTACAGATCCTTCCGTTGCTCGACCACAGATAGTGAATTCGATTTGTTTTCCTCCTCAATGTAGTACAGCTATAAAAGTGTGCATACTGACTTTCTCTTATCAGTTTCTTATAGACAGCTGTTCAAAAAGAACCACTTGGTGGACTTATAATTACTGTCAAACTTTTCATCTTTGTCTTAAATAACAGGATCTTTATCGCAGATGATGATGAAGGTTTCGAATATATATCATCTATATAAATGGAAATCATCAACTATCAGGTGTAATGCTGTGTTTTCTATATTTGTCAAAAAGTATTCTGCTGGTAGGTTGCAATGTTTTGACCCTAATACCACTCAGATTTGTACGCATATAATTCCTTAGCAAATTTAACTGCCCGTAGAAAGTAAATCTTGAAAGTTCTTCGAAATATTATTTCGCAACAGTAATGTATAAATTATTTTCTATCGAGTCGTGTGGGCTGTCATTTTTTCGGTGAGTGAGATTTTTGTAAGGAGTGAGATAACATCCAGAAAATTCGCTTATTTATTCGATATTTTGACTCAAGAGATTAAAGTAATGAGGCCAAATGAATCAGATACACTATGAATATTTAAGCGGTTCACTCATACTTTTACGACTTTAAAAATGCAGCTACATCCCAAAGATAAATATTAGACTGTTATTTGCTGCCAATGATTGGAAGCACAACTGTTCAGCTTCAGTGAATGAAGTTGTCATGAAGGAAGATTCGCCAAAATGAGTCATCGAGGAAAACATGAAAAAGAGTACTTGTATATAAAAATCAGTACAACTGGTTTCGAGTCATTTTACGACCACTGTGCAGATATTGGTTCCATTCTCCTTAAGGATCCTGATTAAGTGAACTACAACCTTCTGCACTGCACAAACCAATAGCCGCAGATTTCATGGATTGGTGCTACGTCCTCACTTGGCCACCTTCACCTGTGTTGAAAATCAGTCTTACATCATCTAACCCGATGCATGTGGTTAGATAAGAATTCAGCATCCTTAGCTCGTGCCTAAGCAACGTCAGTGGCTGTAGTTTCATAACCTGGTCGATTTTCCTTGACTGATACTGATACTCAGTCCTTAATCTAAACTTTCCCTAAATGGTGATTCTACCACTCGAAATCATTGAGATGAAGACACCTATGTTCGAAAACCTGTAGCATGCCCTTTTCTGTTTTCAACGGTCATATCTCAATTTAAAGGTTTGTGGGGCTTTATTTATTAATTTCAGGACGATATTCATCATGGACTGACATCAGTGTGAGAACAAGTAGAAAACTGGTGACTTTGGACACTTGCTTCGTCTTAGTAGAGGACTCCTCAGCAATGCACACCTATGACTCCCTCTTTCCCAAGGGATCAAACCCACGACCTAAGTCACATCTCAAATTCACATTTGCAAATCACCAATGATAATTACACACAACTGTTCCATCTCTCTCCTCGAAATCGCTAATGAGCGAGTCACTGCCAATAATAAGTAGAGTATTTATCAGTTTACTGATCGTTATGTTCACAACATAACCGGTAATTCAGGTCAATCAACAATATAATCAATTTTGGCCATTATTAATGGAATCATTGTCCTCTTATTCTAGAAATGAAATCATAGAATAAATATCGTTTGCTGTATTTCATTAGTTAGATATGTCTGTTGGTTTCTTTGATCCCTTAGGCCTAGCTCTTCGACATATAATGAAAAATAACAACTAAAAACTTACTTATCCTCCCTTATTTATGTCGCTGTTATTTGAAAATAGATTTTATATCATATGTCCTCATAAAGAAAGACCTGTTGAAATTAGTAAATCCACTTTCATTGGATTCGTTCAGCTCAGTTTACAAATGATGTTATTTACACCACTTATGCAAAATCAGTTATATTTTGTGAGATTGTAACAACGCAAAGACTAAAGCATTATGTGCAACTGCCAACTTCTTACAAGTTTATAGTTGCATAATTTTAGCTTCTCAAAATTCTCCAAATTAAGTTAATAGCATGTTTTTCTATTAACTCCATCGCATTTCCCAATGATTAAGTTTATTCTATCAATAGACAACCAGTACTGCTCATATTTTCACTTTTATATCAAAGATATTCTGCTAACAATATGAAACAAAAATCTATTCTTACTAGTAGCCAATGGATACAAAAATAAACGTTACGACTGTGTTATAAAGCGGTTTCAAAGTGCTTTGAATGGCTTCGAAATAATCCCATAACCACCTTCGTGGTGAATAATAATATTTATTTAGTGAATACAAATTGACCATCAACAGGTTTAATTTAGGGTATAGTTAAACAAGTTTGATTGATCCCTGTAAAGGTTATATTGAAACCAAAATATCTTTCCAAAATTTAGGCTGTCTACCACAAAACCGAAATATAACCTCATCACCTTAGCGTTAATTCTTCACAATACTTAAAGCATGGGTAGTGAAACGTTTTTTAGGTGTCTTTAGGCTGTGAAAACCTCGTATGTCATTAGTGCCAAGTAACAGAATATGTACTTTAAAGTATTACGCTTGTTCTTACCTCCATATTTTCTGTGCTGGTTAGAACATCTCATTCGGTTCTCTTCTTCTTTCAGCCAGCCAGCACAACCATTTCTGAGAAAGTAAACCCATGTGATAAACATGTATTTTCCTGAACACAATACTTAACTGCTTTTAAGTTTCGCTCCCATGAATCACACAATTTAAATAATGATGCTTGCAAAACATAAATTTTATATTCACAACTTCCCGTGTATTTTCAATAGGACAATGTTTCTGATTATTTTTAAGTCTTGTAAGCTAATATAAATGGACAAGTCTAATTCAAGCCTGAAAATTGAATAAAGCTGCAATTTTTCAGAAGCATCTTTTGTTTCGAGAACAGCCACGAATACTAAACCAGTATTATTAATGCAGACTAAGCTTTTGAAACTAAGGGACGAAATCTGAGGTTTACCAACACGCATCAAAATTAATGTCTGATAGCACTTACCTGACAAATAAAAAATATGACAATCACTCCTATAAGCATTATGTTTGTATCCTGTCGACGAAATTCTGTTCTTTTTGTCTGGTCAACACACTTCCGACTAGATTTACGCACCTCCAAAATCAAAAATGTATTCATAATGGCTATAAGGACAAATGGTATACCAACAACTAACAAAACCCATGACCATAAGTGATAGGCTTTACGAAATTGATCTGATTCACCGAACTTTGTTAACTGGTACCAAATAATGGAAATGCTTGTCATAGAGTCACCAATTCTTTCATCATTACTAATACTGCCAACAGAAGAAACAGCAGATGAGATAGATGAGTTCTGTACAAACAAATCAGGACTTTTGAAATTTTGATCTTTTTCTAAGTTCAAAAATACCGGATTCAAAGGAAGATACATTTCAAATGTTTTGTATTCAAAATAGCGCGGAATACCGTAGATAACACTAATCACGTAGATAACAACTATAACAGTTTTGGCAAATTTCAGAGTACACCAACGCTTGGCCCAGAATGGATGACATATCATTAAGTAACGATCGGCTGCAAAGGCAACTGTCAACCATACAGATGTTACCTGATATAGGAAAAAGCGGAAAAATGAACTGTAAAATGTATTTAAACACTAATTTATTCTATTCTGAATCAATAAAAGTTTATACTAGCAAATGCAATGATGTCTAGGCAATAAATAATTTACTACACTGATAATTAAATGGGTTTCAGTTCAACCAAGTGTAACCAAACAAACCTACTGATTTATCAGATGTACCTGTAGATGGTATGGTCTTAAAACAAACGGATTACCGACCAAAACATTTATAAATAAAACAGTGCTCCTATGAATATCCTCCCAACTAAATTTCAGTGTTAAAATGTTTCCATAATTACCACTTTTGCATTCAGTCAAGCTCAAACACCTTAATGTATACATGTAGGCTTCTTATGAATATTTTCATAATCTAATTAGCCGAAGCAAATTAGGTTGAAACTATCTGAAATTACCAAACTTCAACTAAAAAATGCTCGTACCAAGAAAGAAATCCTGTCAGCAGCCCATAAGAATCAATTCCCTGGGCTCTTAATATCGACTTCCATTCAGCTAAGATGTTTAAGGAATAAGCTTCTAAATACGTTGTGAAATGGTAACGTGTAAGCTGTCTTACTATGTGGTGAATTACTGAATAAACAAACTTGGTGGTGGAAAACTACAAACGAATCACACATTGTGCTCAATAGGCTTTGCCATTATTACTAATTAGGCATTTTATTTATGGTAAATAAATTGTCCGACTTGTGTTTTTCAAGCTCAGAATCTAATCAAAGAAAACTGCCACCACCTCTTTACATGAATGAAAAGTGAAATAGCAAAATTCATACAATTAACTAACAACAGCTTATTAACAGCCCTTCACGTCAGAGCCTTACATACAGTTCTGACACAGTAGCACACAATTTAAAAATGTATTACAAGATTCATTGATTAGTGTAGTTAGTTTGACCGTCCTGATGAAAACTTCCTACCTAATTTGAAACATCTGGTTGAATTAACGCACTGCAGTTAGTTCTGAACTGCATTTAGCACTGAGAAGTGAATATGGAGTGAGCCTATGTAGAAGCAAATAATTAAAGTCTACCAATTACTATTCCTAGTTTTGTGCAACATGAAACAAACTGTTGGTTCGGATGAATTTCTTTAGTTTTAGGTAAAAATGATTAAGTCATGTTATCTTTCTAAAATGCCTACCCCGAAAATGATGAACAGAATGTAAGCTTTACAGAACACATCTTTAAAGGTGGGTTGCAGGTAATCTGAAACAAGAAAGGGTAGTAAGGCGAAATGAGCTAGAACTAGAAGTAATTAGCCACAGTGGTCAAGGATTATTGGTCAGACTAACTGGGATGTTGGCTAGTGTGTGGGAATGGTATATCGTCCTCTCTGATTGGTCTCAGTCAATGATTGCCCATTCTTCAATAAAGGCGGGAAGTCTGATGGACATAGCGTTTAAGATGCTAGGTTTCACATTTATCAGGCATCTTAATAAAGCAGAGGACATCAAACTTCAGAGAATCAAGCAAGTTTTAGGCCTGTTCTTAAGCGTGTTGGTTAGATATTCATTCCTTACCAAGTTCTTGAAAGCAGGCACACTTGTTGGCGCCCGACAGCAGCCGTACTTCTTGATGTGAAGGTAAAATTCAATTCCACTGATGAAGAGTTTCTGTGGCAGCGTCTCTTACTGAAAATGGTGCATGATAAGTTCATCACTCTTTTTAAGCCTGTATACTCGAAAACTAGTGGATGTGTTGAAGCCTATGGTGAGTTATTAGGTGAGTTATGTACATCAAGTAGTGTCCATTGAGTATTTTCATTGTCTTCAATAATATTTAGCTTTGTCATAGGTATATTCAAGGAGGTCCCTCTCTCATTTGAGGTTACAAGGATTGATCTTATCACAAGAGAATCCTTAGCAGATCTAGAGTGAGTAGATGACATGGTCTTGTTAGATAATGATGTTGACAACATACAGAGTCTATTGGACGCCTCAAGTGACAATCTGATGATATGAAGAATGTATTTCTCACCACCTGAGTCCGTACTGTTGCTCCAGGACCAGTCTTCGCTGGTGCTTTGACAAACAATAAAAAATGAATCGAGTCAATGGGTTGGCTTTTTCATTTATATGGAAAGAGAGATCAGTCCATGTAGAATAGTGGTCGATGAAATCCATGCACGGACGCAAAAGGCTCCACTGACTTTGGCCAACTTGCACCTTTCACAGCGCTGTCATGATGACCAACCACCTAGTGAAGATTACTTCTACTGCACTGCAGTTCGTTCTACCCTACTTTGTGGCTATGAAACATGGTCACCAAAACTGGGAGAGGTGAGAAGTCTACAGATATTTCCCACAGTTGCCTTCGTAGATGAGCTATGTGCCATAATTCCTCCAAGTTAGTAACTTGGAAGTCAAAGGTGAGGTTTTGGACAGAAAAGAAGTGGTAGTTGATGGGGTTATAAACGTTCATCAATTCAGATAACCCTGATATGTCTTACGTATGCTTGGTCATCATCTAGCTTATTATGCAATGTTAGCTGTGTCAGGTTCAGCCTGGGAAAAGGTTGGTGGTGGCCTGACTAAAACGCTACATCAGTGCGACAAGTCGTTTGTTGTTGGTCCAAGAGGATTGAGAAAATGTGAACTTCCTGGCTGTGGCCTTCGCAATACTCGAAACTGATGACTGGAGGTTTCAGGTGACATAGGTCACAATCGATATCAGTGACGAAGATGTATCCACATATTTTCATCCTGATCGTCATTCTGGATTTTATTATTACTTCATCTATTCCTGCCCCTTAAATGACTTTATAAAACTTGGTTACCTTCTCCCCTAGTTTTGTGTCTCTCACCTCATTTCATTCTTGCTTCACATGCCGATATTACGTGTGATAACCTGGACCATTGAGCAGTAATGCCTGGTCATGTGTTGATATTGGTCAATGATATTCACCTACTAACAACAAGATTACACGAATTCCGAAACGAATGTCTTCCACTAAGATGAGATACACCATTGGGGCTTGTAACCGTACTAAAAGGATATTAAGTAATGTAAAGGAGAAGATCAAAAAGATTCCATCAAGCTGGTAAAAGTTCATTTCATACTGAATATTCGAAAGATTTTAACAAAAATATCAAACGTTAAATCATTTTCCTCAAAAACCAGTACTCCAAACACCCTTTTTTGATAAACGTAAGTGCGTCATGGACTTTTTACTGTGGGTTACTTATGTTGTAGATATTTCTATGAAACTACTTAGCTGCCTTCTTGGAGAAATTATTGGGTGAAGTGAGAACTAAGTTCAACACTATTTTGTATTCACTTAATGATATCTTGACGGAAACAAATTTATGAAGCATTCTTGTTTACAAACACCAATAAACATTCCTACTAATATTAGACATCCTCACTGAAAATTCATTTTTATCTGGAATATAATTTCAATAAAAGCAATAAAATTGTTAGTAATAAGACTTTATAAAGGATAAGTTGCCGGTAATAAATCGCTAATATTTGCTTTCCGTTGAAAGAGTAGGGTGCTTTCAAGAAACATATCCTGATCACTTAATGGATTTATAGCTAGTTTACCCATTAGAAATTTTCAATGATACACCTACTTCCAAATACTTATCAGTTAATGCACATATATGGTACCTGAAATTAATGATTATTTCACTTCATACAATCATTTTGCTATCAATATCCTAAAACCAAAGTCTGCAACATTTTCTGAAAATTTGGTGAAACATATGCTGATGTTAATTTGCACTCATCACACGCTTCCTTGTACTCTAATTAGCATGTTTCCATGTCAACACTTGTGAAAATTAATGCCAATTGACTTCATCTTATGTAAACGCATAAAGTCATAAATTGAGTGATGTTTTCACCTATCTAAAAGGTCAAACAAGTTGAAAATGTTCAATTCATTAGATTATAAACATTTAAATTCAAACCATACCTAAAAGCAGCACTCAACAATTCATAATAATTCGTGTAACAGTTCAAATTTAGAAAAATATCACCCAGGTTCTTACGATAAGAATAAGCTTTCAAATGAGGCAATTATAAATATTTTTTTATTACAGAATGCGCTATCTTGAGGAATGAATGAGGAATGAGTAACGTAATTACTACACAAAACCATCTTTAGAAAACATTCCCGCTGATAATAACAACCAAAACTAAGTAAATGATTTTAGTTTCACCAGTCTTTTCAAGAACTTAGGTATTTCAGTTTATCCTGATAAACAGAGAAAAAAGAATTCAGCTTTATCAGATATAGAATACATCTTCCAAACGCTTATAACAGTGACCAAATCCACCCTGATCTCATTGCATCTAGGCTGTTCTGAGCAATATTTATCTATCATCTGGACTACCTGAGACGGCCGTGATTTGGCAGACTGGTATTGATACTCAGTGTTGATTGAAGGTGAAATGTAAACTTGAACCGTGGCCGGATTATTTGTTTCTCAGGAATATGAGATGGTGGGAAATGAAAAGAGGTCGCTGAGATTTCTGATAATGAAACTGATTATAAGGCTACAAGTATTCTCAATTAACAGGAAGACACTAATTTAAATGTAGGTTAGTGAAAAACTGAATTTATATGATAGAATTAGGAAAAATAATAATTCAATAACACTTTTTTTAGATTCCTAATTTCAAAAGGTGCAAATTGGCAGAATTAGAAGAATCAGTGACCTTAGTTTTTCACTAACCTACATTTAAATTAGTGTCTTCCTGTTAATTAAGAATACTTGTAGCCTTATAATCAGTTTCATTATCAGAAATCTCAGCGACCTCTTTTCATTTCCCACCATCTCATATTCCTGAGAAACAAATAATCCGGCCACGGTTCAAGTTTACATTTCACCTTCAATCAACACTGAGTATCAATACCAGTCTGCCAAATCACGGCCGTCTCAGGTAGTCCAGATGATAGATAAATATTGCTCAGAACAGCCTAGATGCAATGAGATCAGGGTGGATTTGGTCACTGTTATAAGCGTT